ATGTGAGGTAGGGCTGTGCGATTATGGCAAAAATCATAATCACGATTATTTTGGTCAATAATTGATATCACGATTATTAAAAACGATTATCCATTTACTTTGAAAACATCCATTTATTGAAAAATAAAATTGGAACAGTATGTTTTTAACAGTTGATTACACTGAACTTTAAGTATAATTCAACTGAAAATCCAATAAAAAAAAATATTAAAAAAAAATAATTACATTTTTTTAAATTTTTTTATAAAAAATAATCGTTTTATTTCGATAATCGTTGCAAGCCAAAATCGTAATCGAGATTAAAATACGATTAATTGCACAGCCCTAATGTGAGGTATATCGTACTGTATGCTGCATTGTAAGAGTGGCTACGCTTTAGCTATTGTGCATTTGACAAATAAAGCCTTTGAATCTTTGAAGAAGATACAAAGGAATCAGGTGGTGACAGGACAAACGCTACTTATCCGACTTGCATGTGCACACACACGCTTTAAATAACTTTTTATGTGTATAAATAACCCCACACAAAGCAAAAATGATCGAGAAGTGACAAGAACATTTCCAATAATAAGACTTTCCAGCACAAATGTGATCATTAAAGCGGTGTTACCTGGTCTTTCCTGCCCACCACAGAAAACCACATGTTGCAGCCGCTCCTCAGCGTCGTCCAGACTGGGACACACACACACACAAACTACACTTCCTTTTTATCCTGGAGAGCGCTTCAACCTGCTAACGTGCTCCGACTCGTCCAAAACCTCAATTACACCGGCTGGGAGAAATCCATTCAGCTGAACGTCTGCGTTTTAAAATCACTATTTACGGCTGAGGATGGTCGGATAAAAAGAGAAATATGAATGCCTACGTGTGTGGCAAAAAGTAGAGGAAGTTTAGTGCAAGTCATTTTAAGAATCGAAGGGGAAATATTAAAAAAATATGTATGTATGTATGCATTTAAAAAGCTGTATGAATTCCAGAATATGTGGTTCTAAAAAAAGTTGTAAAATCCAAGAAATGCAAGAAAATCCCTCGTAATTTCAGCGAGTTTGTGGAGAAAGTAAATCCAGTCAGAGATCCAGAGGTGAAGTGTCGGCTGGTCGGAGTGAGGTGGAGCGCTGCTGCTCCGCCAGGCAAATACCACACACACACACACACAGTTATATAACAGGACAGAGCGCAGCCCAGTTTACCGAGAATTCAAGCAGCTGTTTGAAAAAATTCTCTCTACCTGCCTTTCTTTTCCCATCCCACACACACACACACACACACACACACACACACTTCTCCCCTCCTCATACGTCCACACAGCTTTGAAAACAAACAGAGCAAGGTTTCCTCAGTACATCCTTCCTCCCCACACACACACACACACACACACACACACACACATACACACACACACTCACAAAGCCACACAGGAAAGCTCTCGCCTTCAGCAGGAAACTCACTCTACTCCAAAGAAAGACAGAACCAGTCCTTGTGTTTAACAGAGAACAAGCAGCACGTCTGCCTCCTGCACTTCATCCATGTCAACGTTACAAAAAAGTAGCCTCAAAGCACAAAAAGCAGGACGAAACACAACACAAAGGTGCATCGACCTCACCTCTCCTGGCACACCTTAGCATCATAGAAACACCTGCGTGTATTTTAAGCATTAATAAAGAGTATTTCAAAAGTCTGATTTCAAGCTTTGGAAAATGAAATAATTATATATACGATAAACAGTATGCCGATTATGTCCCTTATTCTAATATAATCAGACGTTATTGTGCTATAAACATCTGAAAAAAAAAGTGTTGTGACAGCGATCTACGGAAGAATTAAAGGAAACACAACAAGGTTTCATATTTCAAAAAGCGTCACATACTTGAAAGCACACTATATTACCTATTACTCGCACACACACTAGACAAATAGCTTTTATATCAATAACATCTTTGATGAAATATGCAAAATAGAAGGCAGTAACGGCAGAAAGTATGCAAAGTATTTTCCCTTCCCTTTACGTCAGGGGTGCCCACACTTGTTCAGCTTGGGAGCTACTTTTAAAATGATCAAGTCAAAGTGATCTACCTACAGGGCCGCCCCTGCCCAAAGTCATGTGGTGAGGCCCTGGGCGTTTCTCATATTGGCTTCCAAGACAATATTTCAAGGACGCTACGTCATCGAGTGCCGCCGAAGGACTGTTCCAATCTCCAGCATACTTGGAATTCCACCGAGGCCGCGTCCTTGGTTTGGGGGAAATCTCGAGGCTGCACATGGGTAGACTTCGTGTCCTTAAAATCCCCACAATGCTTTGCGCATGGACCAATTTCCCCAAATCTGTGGCGGAAGATGTAAGAGGCGGGGCCTCTCATATGACGCACACCTGCACACTTGCTAGCCTGTTCCACTCTTTGTTTTCTGAATGCCAGGAAGTATTCTTGCCTCGCTTCTGAAGCAAGATGCTCGGCTCGGCTGTGCTACCAAGCCAGCACCCTCGCGATTGAGAAACGGCCCCTGTGTATGTGCGAGCGCGGGGGGGGGATGCTAGTGGACTGCGAGCACCGGAACCTCGAAGCGGCGGAGAAACTGTGGCCACTTATTGTGCCGCACTTGCGCTTCAGATGAGGAGGTGAAGCCCCCCTTATACCCTTTCTTTAGTATAATTGTATAAATTGGAAGGCTGACTAGGTAATCAGCTCGCCGGTGAATATGAGATTTCAGACTGGCTTACCTGTACGGCAATCAAGTGGCAAATGCCTTAATAAGGATGGATGATAGGCTAACTTTTTCTTTTTTTACAATGCCATGCGATCTACCTACACTACCTTCGCGATCGACGTATTGGGCACCCCTGATTTACGTAATGTGCAGGGTTTTCCCAGAAGGTCATTTGTTAGTCAAAGTGACTCCCAGCTGTGCAGTATGTTTCTTTCCTATTTGAAATTGAAATCTAAGCAATATGGGACACTGTTGTTGCCCCTGAGGTGCATACAAGTCCCTGTTCTGTGTTTCCAGAATGCTCAAATGCTGAAACAAACATCCCAGCAGGTGGTCTGCATAAGTGGAGCTTTTATAAATGTTATGTATGGGAGGGAACAGGGATCTGAAGATGATTGTGTGAGTCAGCTTTCATATCAAATTGGAGGGTGATGATTGGGTTGTTTGTTTGAA